ATATATATATATATTTGTGTGTGTGTGTGTGTGTTTGTGTGTGTGCATCTGATCTGTGATGGACTTCACTGTAGCTGTGACACAAACACAAACCAAAACTGACTTTCATTAACACGGAGAAGTTTTCATCCATCACCTCTGTCAGGATGAAGAGAGAGTCCGGTGAGAATCTCACGTGTTTCTGCAGGAGTCTGTGTGGAAACCCACAAGCTTTTCTCCAAGATTCTCTGTTGTCTAATAGAAAAGCCTGTGTTTCTTCTCTCTGGAGTCATTTAAAAGTGAGAAAGTGTTCAAACAGAGCCCAAGCTCAGTGATTTAGTAGCGGCGCCGGGCGCGCTTCTGCTGTAAAACAAATGTGTTCAGCGCTCGCATTTCCTCGCCGAGGTCTTTCTTCAGGAACCTAAATAAACAGCACAAAAGAAATCAATGCGCTGTGGTTATTTGTAATCTCTGACTGTGTCTCTCGCAGCGGCGTCGGCTCTACAATAAAAAACGGGAGATGGAGGAGCGTCGGATACAGGAGAAGAGGAAATGATGGAAAGTCATAGGGGACGTTTAGAGCGTGATGAACGCCAGCGAGAGGACGAGGGAGAAAAACCGAGGCTCTGAACGGCTTCTGCTGGAATTGAGCTGTTAAACCCTTTTTTTCCTCTTCATTGAGCTGTGGAGGTGCTGCCATCCTGAATTTATAACACTGACACCATCGCCGCTCGAGAATGCTCTGTCTGATCTAACTCAACGTCAGATGAGAGAGAGAGAGTCGTTCTCACACATTCACTTGCCTTTTCCACATGAATCCTGGAATACTGTGACGGACCCGGTGCAGTCTGGACTGTCCTCATTACCCTCTCCAGTCCACATCAAACTCATTCACAACTCATTTTATAATGATCATTGTCATCATAATCATTTCTATAATGTTATACAGACATATTCAGGACTTTAATTGTTTTTTGTTTTAAAACAAGACACTACAGGTGAATACGGGGGAAAAAAAAACTAATAGATATCACCATACTTCCCCCAGTTAAAGAATCACAGTATATTAAAACAACTGCTTTTGTATTACAAGTTTTATCAAATATTATGTTTAAAATATGTTAAATATGCACTAATTTGCAGAAATGTCCAGAACAGAAATCTAAAGTCCGGTTCATAATTCTTGTTCAATTTTGTTGACATATTAGAGCTAAAGGTTTTTACTGAGGGGATTTTATATTTTTCTTTTTATCACTCCATAAATCAGAAAATACTGTTAACAGACAGAAAAAATACATTTTCGCCATGTTTTTTAGGAATAAAATGTTATAAAAACTCATGTGAATGATATATCAACAAACCCCACAGTAAAATCCTTCAGAATGTAGAGAGGAATACAACTGCTAAGTTTGGTGTCTGTAAGTGCTGCTGAAGTGGAGATAAAACTTTTAAAGGTATGGATTGTAATTGAAATATACAGATGCAAATAGATAAAGTGTAATGAAATAAACAATTAGATGTGTAATTTGGGTGTTTTCTTTCCACTAAATTCACTAAATTTCACGGAATTAAAGTTGCCTAAAATATCAAAACTAAACAAAAAATAATAATAATAATAATTTTAAAAAAACAATAGTTTTGCCTGTAGCATTTTGCCTTAATTTAACATTTTCCTGCATGATTATGGGGACTAGTAAAAATTATTTATTTCTTTAGAATAACGTCACTGATGGTTCATCCTAAGTAAGAGCAGGAATTAATGACTGATCTTGAGTTCATAGTCCAAACTGCACTCGCAGACAAACACATGACGCTTCACACAGTAAATCAACACATCATTGCTTCATCATTGACTGTCAGACGTGTAAATGTTAAAGGGACCGTATTCTCTCTGCAAATGCTACAGAACAATGAGCAGAGCGTTTGCTCATGAATCACAAATATTGTTCAGTGTTTAACCCTCTGAGTTTCATTCAAGCGTTACATGCGGGTTAGTTTGCGTTCTGTTTAGACGGTTCATCTGCTTTGACTAATTCTTCATCAGATATGCGTTCATTCAGTTATGTGAGTTTAGAAACAGGTTTATGACTGAGGGCTTCAACTTAATCTAATCCAATGAAAACTAAATCCTGCCGGCTGAAGAGGAGAAGAGCGGCGGCCCTCAGGGTTTAGAAGAACGGTTGGTTAAATTCTGCTTAAACTTTACGTTTTCCCTGTCGGTTAACACTCAAACTCCTTTAACCCTTTGAGTTGACAGACTGTCCTCTAATCTGATATTCTTACTCACGTCGGCCACTTCCAGCTCTATTACAGAAAGGGACAGGTTAACCTTAAGATCTACTGACAGCATCCTGTCAGCAGTTTTATTATATCAATATAAATGTCTGTTTTATATTTCCTCATGAAACTTTATGAACTTTTGCCCACACTGCAGAAAGTGAAGTTCTTCCTGAGTGTTTTTGTCTTGTTTTTCAGCACAAACATCAAAGCATCCTTAAATCAAGATACATTTACTGAGGATCTAAAATGGCAGAAGATAAGAAGTCTTATTTTCTGAGAAATTGATCCAAATTAAAAACAAGCAGCTGGCAATGACGTCAAAAAACACAGGTTGTCCCTTTGAATTAAGTTTATTTTTTAAACTCATTTGGCAGATATTTTTGGTAACTTTGAACAGTTTCTGAGAAAACAAGACCTCTGTCATTTAGCATCTCAAGTAAATGTATCTTGATTGGCTGAATCACTGATTAGTGGCTTCTATGATTCATGATCGATTTCAGTAAGTTGTTCTGTTTCTGATGTTTCATCATGTTTATTTGCTGCTGTAACTAGTAGTAAAGAGCAAGAGAGGATCAGTGATCTGTCGCCACACATTAAAGAGCCACAAAACATCCTTTATTGTTTGAATTTAGTGATAATACTGACAGAATTTGTAAGCTGAGACTTTGTTTCTTGTTAAAAGTAACAAAACATAAAGATTATTGGTGCTCTACAAATAATGTTTAGTGAAGGTCTGCTCATGCATCAACTGAAAACAGCAGACTAAAATATCTCAGCTCATGAAAATGATCTATTATTTTGGCCAAAACTAGAAATGTTCCTTGATTTAAAAATGTCTAGAGGTTTGTGCTGTAAAGCAAGACAAAAATACAGAGGAAGAACATCACTTTCAGCAGTAAATAAGACACATGGCATCAGTTTCAGCAGTAGGCTGGAACTTTTAAATAGTTCAAATTGCCCACATGTTGTATTCTTTCATGCTGCATCAAAATTGATTCTTGCATCAAAATCCAACAAAATACCTGTGTGCAACAGAAAGATGTGCTAATCAAAGCTAAAAGAACTACTGTACTGGAGCTTTTGCCGGAAGTGAATTACCAGGAAACTCATATGAGACAGTTAGTTAAGACCTTCTGGACTCAAAGGGTTAAAGTTGGAATCAATTTAGAACAACGAGAGCGAAGATGAAACAGAGGCACTGAAATAGAGTCCCTTTAACTGTGCAGTTTAGATTGTTTGAACTGTTGTGAATCAGTTTCTGCTCGATAGGACGTTTCACAACAGTAAACAGCTGTGCGTGTTGTTGGGAGATTAAGGGAGGGTTATGTGGGGGTTATTGGTAAGGTTAATACTCTGGAGAAGTGCAGTCCCATCGTCAGATGACAGGTCTGAAGAGTGCAGCGTTCTGATTAGTCTGAGTATTTCACAAATGTAATGCACACTTCTTCAGGTGCAAACTACGAATGAAGAGTAGTAAGACACTAAAAATTTAGCTTTCTCCTCATTCTAAATCTCGCTTCTGCTTTTCGCATGCTCGCCGTGGGCCTGCACTTCATCCAGAGATGTGTTTAGCGTGATTAGACAGACCGTTCGTTAGTGGGGTTTGGTGCTGTTTAATTACCTTTGTCGAGTAGCCACTCGTCAACTACCCGACCGAGTCGGTACGGGATTCTTTGCCTAGCAATAGCCAGCCGTTCACTATCAAAGACCCCTTTGAAGAACAAACAAATTCAACAGGTTACAATCTGGAAGGTCAAAGGTTAAAGATTAGAGGTTAGAGAGAACGCCTTTAAAATCAGATTTAACACCCTCAAGGCTTTAAACATGGTTTGGAGGTTAGAAAGTCAAGCAAGCTCTGGTTACCATGTGTTTTAAACATGAGTTAAGCATATTTATGAGTCATTTTAGAGGTTGAATGTTACTTCTGGATAATTACAGTGCATTAAAGTGTCTTTGTGAACGTGGAAAAGCAACCATCGTCGTTCTCATTAAAAATGCATAAGAACATTTCCATATCAGCGTACTGGATCAACAAACAGTCCTGCTGAACATCAAACAGCGAGACTCCAGGAAGACGTTTTCTGTATGGGGTCAACTGATCAAACGTTCTTGAGCGCTGTGATTCACAGCATCACATCGAACCTGTTTCACTTGTAGATACATGAGGACCTAAACATGCATCGAGAGAGAAAACCACAGCGATACGTCTGCCTGCATCGCAGCGGAGATCAACCACCCCTCGTTCTCTCTCTGAGTGAGAGTTGGCGTCATAGTGAAATCAAACTTGTCAGTTCTTTCATTAGCTGCAGCCATCTTTCCTCTCTCTCTTTAATGAAGTCACTCGTAGCAGAGCGACTGCCTCTTAATTGCTCCTGCAGCTCGACTGCAAATGATCTAATCAAAATCCCCGCATGCATCCCTACCCAGCGTTCGCTTACAGCACCTCTGCTTTATTAGCCAGATCAAATAAGCCTGGATCGAATGTAAATACATTGAGCATTGAGGAATGGATCCGTCAGCTGGTTCTGCTTCAACATCCCGATTCTACACTGAGCATCAGCGCTGGACCACACAGGCTCGTCTCGCTCCTCAAACACCGAAACACATTAATATGATCACGTATGTGTGTGTTTATGGGCTCTGACGGCGGCTATCAGATGGTTTCTTTCAGGGGTGTAAAATACGTTTTACTTGAATACTGTACATACATATTATTTTGGCCAATTTGTACTTCACTCAATTGCAATTTAAACTGTATACTTGTAGTTTCACTTAGAACAAAACCAAACTTAGCAGTTTTATTCATCTCTATATTCTGAAGGTTTTTACATAGGGGTTTGTTCATATATCATTCACACTGGTTTATATCAAGCATTTTATTTCTAAAAATGTGATTTTTTTTCTGTCTGTTGAGAGTCTTTTTCTGAGTTTTCTGATTTATATAGTCATAAATAGAGAAATCCTAAATCCCCTCTGAAAAAAAAAACCTTTAACTCCAATATGTCAAACAAATCTATCAAGAATTATGAGCCTGACTTTATCCAGTGTTTAGAATAATGTTCTGAAATGAATGCTTATTGGTGCATTTTTAACCACAACATTTCAGAAAACGTAATACAGTAATACAGAATGAACTGTGATTAATGAAATGGGGAAGTATTGTGAAAGCTATTTGTTGGTAAAACACTTGTTACTCTTTGTAGATTACTTCTGCTGTTGTACCACTTGAGTACAATTTCAAGTTGTACTTCTTTACTTTCACTCAAGCCTGTTTTTGGCAATATACAGTACTTGTACATGTAAGTGCGTACTGAGAATTTCTCTCCCTACTTTCACTTCTGTCATTTATTTTCACTGGTCTAATTTTTACACCCCTGGTTTCTGTTATATTTGAGATCGGTGTGAGTCTGAGCGAGTGTTTGTGAGGGAGAAACAGCCTCACAGCATTTATATGAAACACATCAGAGGCGTTTTATTCTCCCGTTTCACAAGAGTCTTATCTTGGAAAGTGAAATCCTCATTTTGTGCGGAGGAAACACTTTGCTCTTTATCAGCGGTGTCATTTCAAATGCAACAGCTCGTCTTTGTGTTACTGGAAATACAGGTCTGATTGTGACGGTGATGTGATGAAGGCAGAGATCTCACGCTGAGCTCCTCATGAGATTCTCTCACACTGACACACAGCAAACACAGTCCTCACACTGACCACATCCATCATACAACATCCCCAACCGCATACTAAACCACCATCACCACCAGCCGCTCTGCTGTTACACACCGCACACACACACACGCACGCACGCACGCACACACACACAGACACAGACACACACACACACACACACTCACACTCTCTCACACACACACACACACACACACAGAAACACACACACACACACTCACACTCACTCACACACTCACGCTCACACTCTCACACACACACAC